AAGGTAACTGAAAAACCCATGTTTATTGTCAATAGATTAACTTTCTCCATAAAGGAGCTTGTCTCTTCTGAAAAACATTTGGGGGATGCCGAGCATAAAGGTTGAAAATCACTGAGCTGGAGTAATGTATCTTTGTATGTAATAATTTGACAGCTGAAGGGTTAAAGTTATTCAACTGTACCTATATGAAAAAATGTCTGGAGAATTGAATACAATATGATGAACTTTGTATTGGCATTTTTGATTCAGTCTCTGAAACCTGAGTAACTGAAGGGATTCTATAAAAATAATTCTACAAAAGTGCAAAGTAAAAGAATGAAGTCCTTTTCATATGGATTCCAGCTGATCATATAGAATCATGCTCATGCTGTAGACTATGATAATTTTGTACTCTTTTTAAGATTTAACCCTGACAAATGGTGAAGAATTATAAGTTCATTTCTGTAGAACAACATGTTTCATCCCTAGTACCTATGCAATGACTTTTTAGTTGTAGATGTACATTGAATTTAAGATATATGTAAATAATTTCTACTGGACAAAGAATCAAAGATACTCAGGATTCTGGATTTGCCCACCAGGGTAGCTTTGAATCCAGACACCCAGCTCTGAAAGTCAGATCCCTTGGACAGTGTGACTTTATCACAATGCCATAGACTTTCCCTATGATGATTGGTACATGAAGCTCCTGAAAATGTTTATGAACCTCCTCTGCATTTAAAAAGACAAGGTAGGATTTGCCAAGCAAAGTGATTCCCCTCATGGTTATACATGGTAGGCTTTTTTAGAAGTGTTTTGGAGTTTTTTTCCTCCTACATTTAATTGAGTTTTACTTGATTTTGTCAGTATTAGTTCACCTTTACTTGAACTGCTGGATAATTCATTTGTAGAAGAGGCAGTACATTTAGGTACTTCCATCTGTATTTAAACAAGGCTCTCGTGCTTTCCCATTAAAAAAAAAAGATTTTGTATTATAATGGTTGTGGTAGATGAGGTTCTGAATTTAACTCCTTCCTACTCTAGTTTCTCTCAACGACTCTATGTTATCAACACCTGGGGTTTCTAGTTTACTCCCTTTGCAAATATGAATTTGCAAGAAGGGGTTGATGGTAAGTAGCGTGGTTTTAATTTGCACTTGCGAAGTGTGTCAGACAGTTTCATCAGGGCATGGCGAGCAGAGGAAAGCCTGTCTTCCTCTGAAAACAGCCCTCAGAGGATGTCAGAGAGCATGTTTGGCTGCGATAATCACTTGCAAATGCACTATGGTTTTGAAATGAGCTGTCCAGGAGCTGCTGGAGAAAGGGATGCCTGTGCTCCTATGAATTCACTCTTTGCCTTTCTCCTTTTTCTTTCTCCTGTTTCTACTTGTTTTCATGTTTCTGAACAGTCACTTTGATGTGCTTTTGGATTATTCTACCTTATTGTGTTGGTGGAAGTTCTGTGGATTCAGTTGGATGAAACATTTGTGACAGTCATCTGTTTTGCTAGGCTGTACCCAGTGATATAGATAGCCCCTTCCAGCCTTCTGTGCATTACTCCATCTACCTGGCATCTTTACAACCTCATCCATCCCTCCTATCCTCCTAGTGCCTTCCAGACAGCTGTTGAAATCTCTCTTCTAGTGGTATCTGAGTACCCTTTTGTTGTCCTTCCACACATTCCTGTCCTCAGAGCAGGAATCTTGTCCTTAGTGACGGTTCATTTATAAAGTTTTTTCTTAATCCAGTAGTAATCTTAAGGTTTAAGTCTGGGGTGATATTTGAGTGCATAGCTGGACTGTGGCCACCCTTCTCTCTGAGGCAAAAGGGCAGAGGATTTATGGTGATACCTCACCTGTGCCCTTGCACAAGAGCTACAACCAACTTGTGTCCTCATAAATCATCAGTGCTCCAGTAGTGTTAAATTCCCTGTAGCCTGTCCCATTTCTCTACTACACCACATCAGCGAGCCTTAAACCTCCCCCCATAAACCCCAGCTTTCATCACACACTTGCCCAGCGCCCTCAGAGGAATTCAGAATGAGTCACGCAGGGCGCCTCTGGGGACTCCTACTGATGCAAACTTCCTCCTCCTCAAGGCAGCCTGTGGTTTGATGCCACAATGCAGCCAGTACTTGTTAGCTCGGGCCTTCGCTGTGGCATTGATAGCAAAGTTTGGGCTCTGCTCCCCCAAATTGCCACCTTCCTTCACTGGATTCTGGTGCAGGAGGGGATACTCACAGCTCATCCTCTCTGTAGTGTCAAACACAGGAGCTGCTTGGTACCAGTCCACAGATTGTGAGGGTTTGGGTCTTTTTTTGGAAGAAGGGTTTATCATTCATTCTTAAGGTGTATTCCAGACCAGGCAGGAGACTGGCATGAGTGAAGTCTTATGTGGATGCTTATATGTGTTATGTAGATGTTTATATGTAAGATTGAAGTCCCCAAGTTCTTGAGATAGGATCAGAAGAGCTTTAGTAGCATCTGTCATGACCTGCTTCCAGAGTCTGCATTCAGAAATACAGAATGTGATGAACAGAGCTCACTTCTGTTATTTTGGTTTGGTCTTTTCTCCTTCCCCAGACAGGCCATTGCCTTTATAACGTTATCTACCTTCTACCTCTTCTCATGGAAAAGAAAAATGCTTTTCTGGTGGTAATTACACAGTGCTGCATTGTGGACCTTTCATCCCATTACAGTAAGTGGACAAACTACTATAATTTACAAGAATGAAATAGGTGAGGAAATGGGAAAGTTTCTGGCACTCCCAGGCACAAATGCCAACCTGACATGGGAGAACAATTCTGACAGAAAGCAAGTTTTCTTGCTAGCAATGGGTGCTGGTGCAGTTGTTTTCTGATGCAGGGATGGAGGAGTGCCAGCCTCCCTTCAGGTGTTTCAGAAGTAGAAGTATTGGGCAGTATTAATGGAGAGCTACAAACCCTTGACCTGTCTCTGCCTTTGCAGTTCAACTGAGACATGCTTCAGCTCTTCCTTGCTCTCAGTTTGAAAATCTCTTCAGTCTGTCTATGTGCTGCCTTGTCATGGATCTGTTAGCAAGGTCAGGGTGTGAATACATTGAGATGTTTTTCCTCCAGCAGAAGTTTGCTGCCTTATTATTCCCCAATTCTGAATACACACCTTTCACACCTCTCAGAACAGACTGATGCTCTTATTTGCCTGGGGTTTTTTGCTGATTTATAGTGTTTCCTTGTGGGAGGTTTGCCCTGAAGGTGTGATTGCAGGAGTAAGGTCTTTACCAGTGCATCAGCAAAAAAGTATTTGCACATCACCAGGGAAGAGCTGCCAGCTGGGTGGTAGAGCTTCCTTATCCCTTGGGTAGACTTGCTTGTAGTCTGTGCACTAGAAACTAAGTGGGTTGCACTTATCTTTTTTTTCTTTGTGTGAGGTGGTTACCAAATGTTGGAGGACACAGCCATCCTGCACAGAGGATGGATTTCTCCTGCCCCGTACAGAGGATGGGTTTGGACCCCTTGGAGGCTCAAGGTGGCTGAAGTTCCCCCAGCCCCCTCTGGGTGGTTTGGCAGCAATTAATTGCCGCCACCTGCTGACCAGGCACAGGATTTCCCTGGCCCCAGTACAGCTTGTGCATGTCCCGAAGAGTCCTCACCATGCCCTCCCCAGGAAGAAGGTGGTGGAGCAGTAGGTGGAGGTCTGGGTGCCTGCATAAATGGGAACACCTGGGGACAAGTGCGAGTTGGTCATTCAAAGGTGTCATGTGCCTTGGAGTGCACATATGCATGGGTAAAGGCTGCCTTTGGGCTGCTGTGAACTTGTAGATTATCAAGCAGATCGTGGATGAGATCAAGCCTGGTACAGGAAGTTTGAATCAGATATAACCTCATATAACTATGGTGTTAGGTGCAGTCAAACTGCATGTCTTCACTTTAATGCATTTCTCTGTAGAAGGCATAAAATTCAGGTACTCTTTTAGAATAAAGGAAAATAGAGAAACAAGTAATTATACCTAATCCTAAACTCTAGAAATCCAAGTTTTCTCTTCTTTGATGTAGTGAAAAGACATAAAGAGTGTTGGTCAGTGTTCTTCAGAAACTTTGAGACTGTTAGCTCTTCAACAAAGATGTCTTTTCACACTGGTGTTTTTGAACATTTAAATGTGAGGTAAGCCAGCCAAACAAGTACACTAAACTGAAGGATGTATGATGCCTGTTAGACAGCGTCACTGCGACAAAGCTTAATTCCATAGCCAAATTGCAGGAAGCAGCAGCATTTGCTGTGATCCTCTTCCCTGGCTGCCCCAGCATTGCAGTGCCTGGGGCACCGGTGAAGAGGTTACATGGCTGCCATGGTAGGAGCTGACTTCTGAAGCTCTTGGAAATCCTGACCCACTTTCTGCCCTTTAATGAAGCATTTGTAGCATTTAACTTTTCTGGGGTCACTCCAAGTGTCCAACCAGTACAGCCAGGGTAAGGACACCTCAGTGACTTTCTTTGATTGGAGTTCATTCTTACAGCCTGGGTCCTGCTTGCAGGCTATCCCAGTCTGTTGCCTCCTGCACAGTTAAAGGAGCTCCTGTATTGGGGCAGTACCCTACAAGTGCTCTAGCGACCCAAGGAATTTCATGTCTCCATAGAGACTATAATCTCATTTTCTCTCTTTTTCAAAACAGCCTCATTTCCACAGGAATGCATGGGGTTTTCCCTAATTATCCTCTGGCGAGTCTCCCTTTTTTTGTGTGTGTGTGTATCATTTTTTAATTTGTTTGTTTGTTTGGAGGCGGAGGAGAAGCCTCCAAGGAGAGATGAAATGCCATGCACGGCAGTTCTGCTCTGCTGCTGCAGTGCCGTCCCTGTTCTGTCAGAGCAGGGGAAGGTTGCTATTACCATTCTATAACGTGTGGCTCTCTGTTACTCTTTCTTTCCTAAGCAGTTGGAGTTGCTGCACAGATGTTTCTGTAAACCCCCATTTCCACCCTCATTGCTCGACCCAGTGCCCAAGCGGCCCCTCCTGCTGACCCCGTGTCTCTCTTCTTGCTCTCCAGGGCTCTGGGACCTCAAGCAGCTCCGCTGCCACCACCCCATCCGTGTCCACTCCTGTCACTGGCCACAAGCGGATGATCATCCCCAACCAGCCTCCCCTCACCGCCACCAAGAAGTCCACTGCCAAGGGCCCGGGGCAGCCAGCGCCCATCCCGGTCACTCCCGTTGGCACCCTGAAGCCGCAGCCGGTGCCGGCGTCCTACGCCACGGCCTCCACGCCGAGCCGCCCAGCCTTCAACGTGCAGGTGAGGACGGCGCAGCCCAGCCCGCACTACCAACCGCCCAGCCCGCAGCCCGGGCACTACGGCAGCCTGGGCCCCGGCCAGCCCTACGCCTCCGCGCCCTCCCGCCAGCCCACGGCCCCTCAGTACGGAGCGCCGCAGCCCCAGGGGCCCGGCTACGGCTACGGCCCTGTGCCCGGCCGGCCCGCGGAGCCCGCCTACGGCTACGCGCCCCCGCAGGGCCGCTACCAGGACCCCTACTACGGGGGCTACGGCGGCAGGAACGGCTCCGAGGCGCCCTACGTGCCGCAGAGCTCCTGGAAGGCCGAGCCGGCTTATCCTGCCAGTAATGCCATGGGCCAGGCTCCCCCTGGGCTCTACCAGCCACCGGGCACGAAGAAGACCTACATCACTGACCCAGTGCTGGCCCCGCAGCCGCCCACCCTGCAGCAGAAGGTAAGAGATACCAGTGGTCACTGACACTCCTGCGAGAGCCACATGGCGGAACGTGGCTTGGGATGCTCCCTGAAAGGTGGTGGGGGTTAAGGTGGTGCTGTCAGGGGTGTGGGGCAGATCTCCCTACATGTGGCTTCTTAAAAGCTGGAAATGGGGAACTCTCATCTGCTTTGAAAAGAGCCTCTGCAGGGGCTTAGAAAAACTGTTAGCCTCAAATAGTGAGATGGTGTCACGTGTGGAAGCATGGTGTCAGCCCACAGGAGGGAGGGAGGGAGGCTTTGTCCCTGTGACTTACTGTTGCCCAGGAGCTCCCCAGCCATGCCTCTGTAAGGCATCACTCAACTGGAGCATTTTCTTCTGGGCACTCCCAAGATGAAGTGAGAGGTTGGGTGTGAGCTGCTTCATATAACTGGGGACATCCCTGGTTCAACAATTAATGCTCCCTGTCCTCAGGCTGATGGGAGGTACACGAGAGGCTGGTTTTGATTGTGGTTCAGAGTGATTGTGGAGGTTGTCCTCTGGTGTGTTGCTGTTCAAAGATCACTTATAACTGAAACCACATGGAAATGAGTCCCCACAGAGCTCGGCTCTGGTTTTCCTCTCTGATGTTGGTACACCGGATGGTCCCCATCCACTTCAACAAGTGCCTGGACCTCATAAAGTAAAGTCAGTTTGAAATAGAAAGTTAAAGTGGGTCTGCCTGGTTTCTCTGCCCAAGCTGATCCTACCTGGCTTTTGTCACTTCTGCTGGTGGCCATCTCTAATGTGGCTCTGGGAGGTGTTTTAGCTTTGTGGGCCCTCACTGTGTATGATGAGCTGAGGTTCCACAAAGGGTGGGTGAGGTAGGGAGGCAATGATGCTGTTGCTGCCCAGGCCCACCTTGGCATGTCTGAGCACATCCATGCTCTTGAGTTTGTGAGTGCTCACAGGGAAAGGGGAAAAAGCTTCTGATACATGACTGAAAGCCTGTCCATTTGTCTTTTCCTTCTCTAACAGCACACAGATGGTCTTCCCTGAATTTCAGGTTTCCTGACAGTGGGAATTTTGAAAGGCAAAGATGTTTCTTGAGGCAGTTTAGAGAGGGCAAGAAATTACAGAAGGCCTTGAAATATTATCTAGGGCAGCTAAGAAACTGCTATTATTCTTTTCTTCCCCTTCCTTAACAAGAACTTTTCAAGCAGGGAGAGAAGCAATAAACTCTCAGCTCTGCAGGTTCTTGGTATAGAGCTTAGATAGAAAAGTAGTGAAAGACACAAAATTTGCACATAGCTTTAACAGATGTAAATGGTTGTGGTTCTAGTGGAGTCACTGAGGAAATGCTGAGGTATAGCAGATCCATATTTAGACTTTTATAGATACAAGTAGGCTTATATATATAAAAAATTTTAAAACTGTAGTTCAGTCAGCATCTCTATGGAAACACAAATCATCTCAAACCACAAACAGCACAAGCCTGTTAGTCTCATTTGCATTACAAAGCTGGAGGGACAATTTAATTTAGCTCATGTTGGGGGTTTCATGTATGCCTATATATATTTATATATACATGTTGGTGTGTGTGCACGTGGCATTTGCAAATACACAGACAGAAATACTTCATAAGTATCTCTATAAAAATAATTTCAATTCTTCTGCAGAACAGACTTATCATCTGCTTGATGATAAATCCCGCCAGAAACTTTCTTTCTCTTCCAACCTGCTAAATAGCTGTTTTCTTACCTATTTCACTTTTGAGCTTAAGAATCTTCTGTGACATGTTGGTGGCAGGCTTTGCCATTAAAGCAGTGTTGTCCAGCCTTGCCACATGCTCTTCTCTTCCTTTGCAGAATAACTCATTCATAAAATCAACTTTGGGAATTATTTTATTTAAAAGGAAAAAAAAAAAGGCTGTGTTAGAGCCAGATATCTGTTAGGAAGAATTGTCACTGTAATTTGACTTGGCTATCATGTAAATCTTAACATCTTTTCCAACACACACACATGATTCTGCATTTGGTTATGTTTTGCCTTTTCAAGGTTGGTTTGAGACTTTTCAGTTAAGGAAACAGAAAGGGTAAGAAGCATTAATACAAATCACACAAAATGTAAGATGACCTTTTGGAATTTTTCTTCTTGCAAGGGAATGGTTTTAAAGTATCAAACAATTTCTAAATGTATTCAGAAAAGTGCATGCCTAATCTTGAACACAGTTTGTGTGCAAATTATTGAGGATGTTGCAGCCAATCCATTTTATTAAAAGGTAATGGTCCCTAATTCTGACATATACCATGATTCATCACTGTGAGTGGCAAAAATTTTTATTAAATTTTTTTCATGCTTTTAAAGGGTAAAAAAAAAGGTTTATATTTGGCATTCTGGCTAGGAAGAGGTTCATGACACTGTGGCTCTCTGTTTTTTGCTGTGTACTAATCATCTTGAAGTCGCTGCTGATCCAAAGTAAATCTGGATTGGTATGGGAACAGCAAATAATCTGTACTGGTTCTTAAAGCCTGCTTGAAAACAATGAGTTTTACTCACACACAATTCCACACTGCATTCTGTCCTTGGGCCACTTATGGGGTGAGAGTCATGCATTAGTGTCTGTCTAGCATTAGTGCCCAAGTCCTAGTTAGGAAATGATCTGGTGGAGTGCATGTCCTCATTTAAACCTTCATGTGCTTCAATGGTCAAAAAATCTCAGGGTGATGGGGACTTCTGTAGGAGCAGCAGCAGAGTTCTCATTAGACCATTTGGCTACTCTCATGCTCTTGCTGTGCCTGCTCAGACCAAATCAAAATCTGAAGCCTTTCTCTTAACTTCTCCTCTCCCAAAGGGCAGAGGGCACAAGGCCAAGGTGGCTCATTAGGTATGCTCATTTCTGGCACTAACATGTCCATAGTAGACATATAACAAAACCAGTTTCTGATGTGGAGTATTCCCAGGATTCTGCCCTGTGGCCAAAGCAGGACTGGTAAACTCCCACCATTGACCAGCTCATCTATCACCAAATGTTTCTGTGCTGGACTGGTTAAGACACCAAAAACCCTTGTTGAGTTCTCGTATCTCCAAATAGTTTTAGGTCCTTTCACTGTTTCTGGTCATGTTTGAACATCTTTGAGATACTATCGTATTTCCCAAGTAGATTTGTGGACCTTTTAGTGACCTCATGTATCTCCTCGTGTACTTGAGGGGTGGCTCTGGGAGATCTGTTCTTCCTAGATCCCAGCTATTGTCCTAATTCTATGCATAGGCTTTGGAAAGCACATTCCTTCCTAAAGGGACCTTTCATATTTTCAACATCTAGACTAGGTACCACTGAAGCCATTTGAGACAGCTTTGCAGCTCTTGTCCAAAATAGTGGAAATCTTAATAAAATCATTGATCTCTTGAGAGCAATTTAACAATTTGGTGAGGACAGAAGTGTCTTGTAGCTCTGATTTAGTACAGCATCCAAAGCCATGTTTCTTTGCTGCAGATTTGCTGGGAGGAGAAAGAGAGCAATATCCCTTTGGTAGCTGTGTCTGTTCTCCCAGACATGGCACAAGTGCCCAAGTTCCTTAACCTGGTCAGCCACAGGTTGCAGTACCCCCATTTACATCTGTAGAGGCATCAGTGGAGCATGGCCTCCTCTCTTCATTCAGCCCTTCAGTTTTGCACACCTCTCCAGATGAGCACTATGAAAAGTGGGGAGACAACTATAAACCAGGAGAATTTAATGAGGCAGCTCATGCTTGTGGCATGGTTTAGGTGGTGGTGGCTGTTCATGACTAGTGGACTTCAGCCAGCGCGTGGTTTCCGCACTGCTGGAGGTGATTTCTTTGCTGCCTGCTGCACCCAGCCCTACATGGTCTCATGCGGCTTGTAGTGCCCAAAAGGGACTCTCTGTTTTCTTGTTTTACACAGCTTTTGTCAGTTTTTCCACTGATATAATATCTCTGATGGAGACATTCGCTTGGAAGTTTCATCTTTACCTCAGAAACGTCTGCTCACCAGTGTCCTTCGCTACGACTGATGCACTTCTCTTGCAGTGGTTTAATAATTTTTACAGTCTGCCATCACTCACATAAAGGAGATACCTCCAATGCTTGCATTTGAACTGAGACTAATTCTCTTGCTGTTTGCTGTTAATTTAGCAACTAGAAATTTTTCCTTCTCTGCAGATGAATAAAAGCAGTCTGCCAGATTCCCTCCCTCTGTCACAGGGATATATGCCTTCCTAGTGTTGCTTTTGACTTATGGAGAAAGGCAGGCAGCTTGCTTTGCATTGCTTGCCTCCCCCAAAGTGTCTTCTCACCCAAAATTTTATGCTTTCACCCAAGTGTCTTCACAAAAGTCACGTATCAAAAATTTTCAATGGGTGGAATTTAGAGACAGTGTAAAATGATGATTGAAGTTGGTCTTCCGTCAGTGTGGGACACTGGCTTCCCATAGTTTTAATATGCTCAAATAAAGCAAACCAAAGTAAAATTTAAAAGGGTGATTTAAAATATTCTACTTTGGCATTTAATGAATTAAAAAAGACTGAAAGCCAATGTGAAATGAAATAGAACGTGAAATTCTGAAATTCAGAGTGGAATCTGTGAGTTCAGTGTGACATTTCAAAATTTCCAGACGAATATGCAGTTCCTTTCTACCCTGAGAATAGCAACAAATGTCAAAATGTTGACATTCTTCACAAAACAGTAATTCAGAGTTCTAACCAGCACTAGCTGTATATCAGCTGCTGACTCTGTCATTGCTTCTGGGTGGATTGAATTAAATACTGTTGCTTCTGTTAAAATGAGGAGGAGGGAAAAGAAGGCAGTTGTGTCTAACAATAAGATGAGAAGCTCAGGACTTGTGGTACTGTGGCATTGAAAATGATGTTTTCCTCTTCAAGCTATTATAAGTTTCTGCATGAAAATCGTTGTGGGTTTTTTCAGGTGAATAGGTGCTGGCAAGAGATGCAAAGAGGTGTTTGCACAGTGGTGTCCTTATCCTGACTACAGGAATATGGCACAGTCTGTTTTTTACCCCAGATT